AGTGTACACGGAATACTTATTGAATTGATCAGGACGGTGCAGATGTGAATTGTTAATTCAAAATGCATTGTGTAGGCTTGATAGGGCTCCAGGTGTCTGTCATAGCTGTTTCACCAATGGTAGCACGCGATCAGCTGACATCTATATTAGCAAGTCGATATCAAAGCTGCTTATGTGACACAGTCGTCAACGAAAGAGGACTCGCGCTTGTGGGAACAGCTCAGTTGAGGTTGTCGCGTTTGGACTTGATATTTTAGTGAGTGTTCTTCAAATTTAGTTTGTGGCCGTTGCAAAGACCTACACTTAATTCCTGTTAATTCCTACGAACCTATTATAAGACTGATTGTCTTCAATGACGATGAATTTATGAGATCGCAGAAAGAAACACTACCACCAAGTTAGTCTCGACTCATATGCCGTCGTTGTTGTGTAAGTACACTGGACAGAAAAACTAAGGTAGAACTTTTCAAGAACTTTTTATTGCTCACTACAAACGATGTCGTTTCATTCCTTGAAATCCTTCACCTTCTTAAATCAAGCTATACGACAACAGAAATGTTTTTTAAAAGAACAGATACTGCATGAAAGAGCCTAAAGTCACAGTTTTGGAGCATGAAGGCATCTTCGTCGTGCGTCACTGACTTGCTAACTGCAGAGTATAGTGACAACAATTTCTATAGGCTCGAAAGACGTCATGCAGTTTAAAGCGATTTGTTCTTTGCTTAATATGCTGAAACGCAGCATAATAGTCAGCATGAATTGACGTATGTTGCTTTTATTTCTAAGGTTTTGATTTTGTTGTAGTGGAGATCCATGTTAAAAGAATAACACTACTGTGACTTTGTAAGGTTAAATTGTGAAAGTAAATGGAAAGTCAAGATTTAAAGAACCTAGTGCTTCTGAGAAAGGAAAAGCTCTTGATCAGTGTTTCACTAAATTTCCCTTCTTGGAGGAAAAGAAAACCGAAATTTATAGTTCAGTACAACTTGTTACAATTATTATTATTTTTTGCAGTAAACTTATAATTCAGTGTCCCAAACTAACTGGCTCGTTTCTTCGCTTCGAGGTGTTGGAAACAAACGGTAGAAAATAATGGTTCGTGTTGAATCTAATTTCATTCCTTGTTTGTTTTGTTTCACACATTATTTGAGCAATATGCTCAAAACATTTTACAGAGTGATTTGTTTTGATTTACCATAATTATGAACAAAGGCGATCTCTCGATACGACTGGCATAGCGTGGTTAAATAAGGCATGAGAATGCGTTAGGAATGGATCGGCAATTGTCAATAAAAGGAAGAAAGTGGTTTGTAAGTATTTACCTAAAATCTTCTTCGATTTTGGGAGCTGTCACAAAACCAAAGGAAGCCCACTAAATCCACTAAGACTTACACAGTGGCAGCTTTAATTTGAGGGCATCCATTGGATGGAGAAATTATCCCATGGATCTGTCTGAGATAGAAGTATCCCTTAACTTATGATAAACATAACATAAATAAAGGCTTTTATCCACATTTTGAAGCTCTGGGACCAATCTCAAACGGATAGAGTTAACATAAATATATAAATGGAGAATTTTATTATTTTAAGTGTTATTTGGCTGGCTATACATGTCAGTTCTGCATGGATGTTTTGCCCACTCGTCTGTCCAGGATTTAATGTATATACATTTGGTACGTCCTTCATATATGAGTTCATATCCGATCGGGTTTTCATATACTTTATATTCAACATAGTTATATGTGTTTCGGTGGATGTTTATCAATCGGAAATTTTTATTTTTGACTGTTCACTTCTAATTTGCTTTCAAAATTTGCCAGACTTATCCAACTGATTTTTAAGTCTAACGGCAGGCTAATGCAACACTAATCGCGTCAATAACTGTTATTGCTGAGGACTTTTTTAAGCTTTGGCTCTCATCTAACACCTGACACAATATCATTTTTGTATTTCCTTTCTTTTGCATAAAATACAGACAATAATTACGCAGTAATGTAATACTGCACCACTAAATATTACTTATTTCCAAACAGTCCAACATCAAATGAAGATCAAAAGCTATATCAACGAAATCTTGCATAACTTAACAAAAACAGTTTTAGATGGAAATAGCAGTAACAGGATCTACACAGAGAAAAAATTCAATCACTGTGATACAATTGTCTTTTTTCATAATCATCTCGCAAAAGCAGAACGCAAACTTCAGTCGTCTCGTGAGAAGAGAAGTTTACGAGCGTGTATTGAGCGTATAAATTAAGCATGAGCCTTGCTTTGATCGCAGAAATGTCATTTTCTTGCTAAGGATAAAAAGGGGGTCATCAATCATTAGAGAATATTATTATCACAGAGCGTACAGAGTTAAGCTTACCAGTTATATAACGGCAGGCTCTGTGCTACAAAGTTAACTCGTAAATTATCGACTTGTAACAGATCAATGCCTCTGCCTCAGCGAAAAGCCCTTGTGGTCGGTCATTCCACTTCACTAGGAAAGCAGTCAATTGTTCAGCAAAAGGAGTCCAGAATTTCGTATATTAAGCGTTTTTCAGAACCTCGGCAGATTCAAAATATGAAAGATATCAGCGAAATGTTTGTAGCTTTTTCAGATTGCAATCGATGTTTTTCTCCAGACAAAGCTTTTATTTTTGTCTGGTCTTACTACTTCCGCGTTGCAAAATTAACCACGGCAATTCGTTTCATCTGTCTGTCAATAGACTTATGCTGAATTTTTAGAGTCTGAACTTGATTGCGAGCTAAGAAACTAATCAAACTTAGTCAGAGCTTGTTGAGATTATGAACATGATGTCTTTGGCAGTTTGTCTGCGACAAACAAAGCAATTATTTTTCATAAAAAAACTGGTTTTCTAAAAACAACTATGCTGTTTACACTAATCTCCTTATGCTGAGGTGCTTTAAGATACGGATTTTTATTAGCTGATTAATTCAAAGTCTAAAGATACAAAAATATTAAACTAAGCCAGACGTAAAGGCGTCGAAAAAGAGCTAAAAACTACAGTTCAACAATCCTTCGATTGTCAAGAAAAAACATAATCTTTTTCGGATCCGGTGCCGCAGGATGTTTGGTCTAAATCTTTACTTAAAAAAAATAACTTTCACATGATGGTAAAAACAATATCTAATCGCATCAGCATGAAATATGAATTTTGAACGAACACTCTTCAGTGAATATTGGGGTAATAAAGGAACAAAAGAGATGCCAAGCTCTCCATTATTTGTAACGGTTTAAATCTCGAAGGATATTTGCACCTTCGCTCGAAAATTCCTTTCTAGTGCTCAGCGCAGCAAACTTTTTAAGGTACTGTGAAAGAAATGTCAAGGTTATAAATATTTTTCTTTTAAATCGATTAAAATGTTAAATATACCACATGCAGGGTTTGTTTCCCTCAAAAGTAAACCATTAAGCGGTTTGCTCCACACGTAATAGAACATAGTACAACCCAGTAATTACCTTGAGGGTAATGGACAAAAAAAAAAACATTTAAGTACTGAGTTTATCATATCATATGCTGTGATTTTTGCACGAATGCAAATGAAAGAAAAACACAGGCGTCTTAAGACTACGTAAACTTCAATTAATTGGGTATTCAGTTCGAGGGCAAAATTGGGAACACCAGCTATTTATTTCTTGTTTTCTTTTTATTTTTTCATCTAAGTAGGATCAGTAAAAACATAGCTTGCAATTTAATTTAAATATACACTAATGCACCTCACAGTTGGGGGTGAATAACTCCTACAGGGAGGTTCACTGTCGAAACTCGTTTTGTTTTTTTACTCAAACGATTGGCACATTTTAGATCAGTCCGGATGATTATCTAACTGGCTTTTTCTTGACGTGATTGAGTCATTTGCATGTACGCGCTGATGACTTGACGAAAACACTATATCAGACAAAAGGAACGTGAGAACCAGGGATCTGCCCAGATTTACACAGTTCAGGCAGAGTCGAGAGGATGTATAAAATTCAGTTCAAGGAGACAAAACGGGTACATGTTTTTGTATTTTCGTCAGGCTTGAGATCAGTAAGGCATCAAGAAGGTAATTTAAAACATTATGAACAATTTTTGGTGAATTGACTTTCTAAAATTATCAAATTAAACATTTATGTCGGAATGCGAGTCAAAAATATCAAGGGAAGTAGGTGTAAGCCACAACACATCCTGTGCTCGTGTTTTAGTATAAAGTTACCCGCAAACGCAAAAATGGCTGGCTAACCGCTAACGTCCGACAGCACACACCCTCTTAGGCTCTTCGTTCCGGCTTGTGCAAAAAAAGCGAAAATTGTTGGGCGTCTACTGTACTGTCTTAATTTATCTAAGAGCATACTGGCTGAGTGTTTTCTTCACTGAATGTATACATTTCTTGCTCCTTCATCGTCCCACCGATTCAAACCAAAGACGAAATCGATGGACAAGTTAAAGTCGATGAAGTTCAATTTCCATTCTAGGACTCAAATTTGACAGCGTTCAGTTTAAAGGAAAGCCAGGATTTTCAGTGAGCCATATAGATGAAATTTATGGGAACCGCTTTGAATTTGAACAAAGAGACTACAGACAGTTAATCAAGAAATCGGTGACAAATTTGTAGCGACTCTGCAAATTATCGTCAAAGTCTTACATAGCACTTACGCACATGAACGCAAATACCACGCATGCGAGAGGGCAGACACGCAAACATGCGTGGCCTCTCGCTCACGCGTGGAGGTCAGCAAAATGAATGGCCTTTCATGCAAGCGTACTTCCGCTGGTTTACAACGCTGACTCACCCTCCTTGATAAAAAGCCAGACAGATCGGTAACATGAATGGCCAATGGCTTTTCATCTTAATCACTATTCACTATTGACACAGGCCTATTAAATTGTACGCTAAACATGTCAATCTCCTCTTCTGTCAACTAACAATTTAGAGCAAATACAAAGCATTAAAATTGAAAACTGTATAAATAATTTTTCCAGCTAACAACAGTAAGTTGTACTTTCTTGCAGTTATTCTGGAGTGAATTTAGCCATCCTGGACGCTATGAACAACCTAACTGGGTACAGATTCCCGCCAACGGCGAACACATCTGTGTATTCTCCGACGCCAAATGCTACTCAGCTGGTACCAACAAACCAAAAGTCACCGAGTGGTAATTTCATAAATGTGGTTTATGCTAGCTTGTTTGCGTTCGTTATCACAGCTGGTGTAATAGGCAATATCCTAGTTATTGCCACTATTGCAGCCAGGCGGAGTATGAGGACGCCGTGTAATCTATTCATTACAAACATCGCCCTTGCAGACTTTCTTGTGGCTTTGATCCTTAGCCCGCTACGTATGGCTGAGTTGTTTATCGGTTGGCCACTGGGTGAATTTTTTTGTCGCTTCTTGGCGCCCTTCCAGGAGGTGATTGTATGTGTTTCGGCTGTCACGCATACCGTGATAGCTCTGGAAAGACACCGCGGCATCGTGACGCCATTTAAGCCCAAACTAAATGTTTCAACAGCCAAGATTGCCATAGCGATCATTTGGTGCGCATGCTTTTTGACAATAGGCTTACCGCTGGCCTTAGTTTTGAAGGAGGTAGAAGATAAAGGTAAAAAATATTGCAAAGCCTTTTGGCCCTCGATCCATGGTCGCCAAGTTTATGAAGTGTTCCTCGTCACAGCTTTCATACTGGTACCTCTTATAATGCAAACTGTCACTTACATCAAAATTGTTGCAACCATGAAGAAAGAGGACGCTTCTACGCAAACTATTACACGAAGTGGAACTGTGGAACAACGAAGAAATCAGATCCGAAAGAAGGCACATTTAGTTAAAATGCTGGTCATTTTAGTGGCTGTCTTTCAAGTCTGTTTTATTCCGCGGGGAATCTTCATGCTAGTTTATGAGTTCGCTAGTCCATCCTACAAGGAAGCAAACAGGGATAGTATGATGATTGGCAACGTCTCAACAATTCTCATATTTTATATCAAACACGTTTTAAACCCATTTATTTTATTTGCGATGAGTACTGAGTTTCGAAAAAACTGCTTCCCCCGGAGACTTTGCAGAAATGAGTCGGACTTTGCTTCAAGCATGTCGCGATATATGTCTAAGAACTCTCGAACTCAAGTGTCACGCAATAGCGAGATATTTGAAGAAAAAGAAATGAGTAACTTATGTGACAGCAGCTCGCCAGATGTGCTCGAAGGAAAAAGAGAAAAAGTAGTGTTCGTCTAGATTGTGAAACTAGCAGACATAGAATGAAAACGACTACTTCATGTCCAGCTCTACAGGTTTGGTCACGTTTAGTTGTCACTTATCGGGTTTTTTTTTTTTTTTTTAAAGGGGAAGATGGAGCTTCCCAAACTATCTCACAAAAACAGTCAAACGTCTGCGCAAGTACGGGCGTTGTGATGACAAGGTGACGTGAAGACAACCAAGTTGTCTCACACAGTTTACAATTAATCACACAAGCCAAATAGTGGGCCGGCTAACGTTAATTGCCTCGCGCATGACTGACGTTTGACCGCTGTGTTTAACTACTCCAACCTCAGATATATATGGCAGCTCTCCGGGCTCTCAATTTTGGGACTCCTGATTTAGGACAGGTGTCTATTTTAGTGAGAAAGCTTGAAATAATCAGCAGCTATACGAGATGCTTTAATAAGCTGTTGTACGTTGTACGGTAATGGCCGTGTAGATACGCTTTCGATCTAGAGCTATTGACATTTATCATATTTTAAGACTGGGATGTTAAAAATTGACGATTTTTCTTCAGAGAAAGCGTTTTTTTTTTCTTCAACGTTAAATTAAGCTATGGCCCTATCTGATACAATGTATCCTTCAGATATATTTGAATATTGCTAATTATCTCAGCTGCTCAATAAATGAGTTTGTTGCCTGCTCCTACAATAAATGCATGATTCCGAACTAAATCTTGTTATCAAGACCTGATTCTAACGTTTTGGAAACTCCCAATAACTAAATAAATAGTGAATGTGCTGATTGGAAACGCAAACAGAAATTAAGTTCAGTCTGCTTTTCTCACAAACGTGAAATCGTCATGAGTCCTTCATTCATTTCTTGGACGCTACGAGCATATCCGGCTCCACTGGCCTATCGCTGAAATGTAGTTCCAGAAGTGAAACCAAAGTTCAGCAGGTTTTCATCAGTTGCTACTCGCTAGTTTTGGTCGTGGTGAATGTGACAAACCTGCCAAAGACAAATTCATATCCGTTAATCAGCCCCTGTAAAAAGTAGAACCCATAACATGTGTGATGATAAAAGACGCTGTGGCTTCACGGTTCCAGTAAGGAGCTGGACGTCGGTTGAGAGCCGTCATCATAAAGAAGGTTCTATCTCAGCAGAAAAGCGAGATGTTATTTTTCAAAGATGTTCTTGTTTCATGATATTACGATTGACTCACTATCGTTGGGGCCCGGTCATTATCTATCACTTGTGTGTGGGGCGGGGGGGGGGGGGGGGGGGGGGGGGGGGGGGGGGTCGAAGGAGGATCGCATGGTTTTTAGGGGGACGGAGTGGGATCAGTCGTAGTTAGCAAAGTTTAAAGGGGGAAATGTAGAACATTGACCGCCAATAAGGGGGATTACTAGAATACTACTGGGCATCGGAAGAGATGAGGTAGTTTTAATGCGACACAACAAAACCCTCCCACCGCCCCCACCCCGCGATAAAAAATGGTCGTCCCCGTATTGTCAATGATATAATGAATACGATTTCGAAAAAAAATTAACTCAGCCCGTTCAGTCGACTGAATAATAAGGTAGGTGTGGCTCGTGTGCTGAATACCTACCCGCCTACTCATTTGGTGGACAACACATGTAGCCACAATTATAGCGGAACTCTGCACTCGTACCAAAGATGATGAATGGGTTGATCACGTGTTTAAGGTAATACACAATCAGAGTTATTGTGATGGCGTAATGGAAATCGAGGTTCTCTTTCAGGCCACCGCCGAATTCCCACAATAGCATGGTAAATACACGGGGAATGGAACATATGTAGAATGCGCAAACAAGCAGGATTAACGTTTTAAGCACGCGAGCTCTGCTTTGCGCAAGTTTAACTGCGCGAATTTCCACGAACTCGTCTTTCCTGACAGCTGTAATTTCTAAGTTAACTACTTTAACGATTTGTGAATAGGCATACGTCTGAATGACCAAGGGTATGAAGACAAATATGATGACTAGGTAAAGTATAAAAAGTTGACGAGAAAGATCTGATGGCCACGAAATATTGCAAACTTGGTGTCCACGCTCGACGCTTTCCTTCACCACAAAAGCCACAGGAAGCCCACTTGCAATGTAGCAGGTTAGCCAAATGATTCCAATAACTTGCTTTGTTCGCTGAATGGTGAGCTTTTCTTTAAATGGCTGGACTATTCCACGGTATCGTTCCAGCGCAATGAAGGTGTGTGTGACTACAGAAACACATACAATCACGTCTTGCAGAGGCGCTAAGAAATGACACAAGAAATTCCCGAGCGGCCAGCCATGGTACATTTCTACAAAGCGAAGTGGAGCTATAATGACAGCAACTAAGAGATCGGAAACGGCGATATTTATGATCAAGTAGTTACTAGAGGTCTTTAGGTTTCGCTGGCGTTGGAATAGCGTTCCAATAACGGCTAAATTTCCCAAAACACCAAACACTATTACAACGGTAAGAAGTGCCACAATAATGGCGCTATATTCGTCTGTACCATAGAATCCAAGTGAACCCATGTTTTCCTGAACCGTCGAGGTATTATTTGTATTAGAAGAGTCTGGTGTTGAACTGTTCATCCCTACAAATCGTACAAGGAGGCGTTTGGAATAAGGTGGCGCTGGTTTCTACCTTGAACCTTGCTTTACTTCCTGTAAGAAGATGTATCAAATGCATGAAAGCAAATCCGTATTTGGCGAAAATGGCCTATAGAAGATTTCCCTACTAGCCTTGGCTCCTAAGCTAATGCAGAAGCTACATCCATCATCTACAATGAAACAGATGTTCTTTACCAACCTTGTTTTTTCTCAGCGGTAAATAATTCTTCCTTAGATCAAGCTCAACTGAGTGATTTGACCAACGGAGTTTCAGTCAATTGATTTAAAAAGTTCGATTATCTGCCTTAAAGCATAAAAAACCCTTATGGCTATCTCCGATCCAGCTCGTACGAGTAAACTTGCATAACAAATCACTTATCTCGTAAACCTGATGAATGGTCTTTTAACAACATGACAAGTGGACTAAAAAACAGCAATCTTTGGGTTTATCTTGCACACTTTTTGACATTTTATTTGAAAAGGCACAGATTTCTTTGACGATATATATTGGATCTGAGAAAATATAAAAGCTGTAATTTAAACAAAGCAGCCCCCGCAGAATTACTTCTATTATGACAAGCTAACAATTATGGCCTGTTAATCTCTTCTCACGCGGAAATTATGTCGGAATCGAAGTAAGTACAAAGGCATTAAAGTATTACCACTTTCAACAACACCATCACAGAATAAAGAAAGAATAAGGACCATGCTGTACTGTTTGTGAATAAAAAAAATTAGATAAGTAAATAGAGTCATTACATTAATATGAAATTACAGTAAATTGTAAAATGTTTTGATCAAAAACCTAAAATGAATTAGAGTTAGCATAAAATTTTTTCCACCTTTTGCCGAAAACAAGACCGAAAACAAAAAAAACCCATGCACTTTTGCGATCTTCTTTACTGTAATAGCACTATAGTGCGTATTAAAGTGTTTTTACATCCACTACCGACTAACTATCCGTGGATATCGTAAACAATGCACAGAATCTGTTTGGGGAGGGCAATCGAACTTTCAGTAATCATGGCAATTAAACTTTATTGACATGATGCAACTCAAACCACGGATCGAGTATGATTGAACTCCCTTTATCTCCAACTGAGAATTTTTAAAACTCCTTTATTCAAATTTCTGCCCTGAAGATCAAGATGAATTGTTGATGATACTGAAGTTGCGTTTGACCAGGCCGTTTCCCCCAAAGAGTTTCGCATGCTACAGAAAGAACCCCCAAAATGTATTTCTTTCAGTGGTAACTACAAGAGGAAGCTAAAGGTGTTAATGAACTGGTGTTTGGATCTTACAAACCCATTAATGGAACAGAATCGAGCGACTATTTTCTGCGAGTTTCGGGATACCAAAGAATCGAACTAACTTACTACTAAACAAAATCCATCATGTTGTGTTCGATACAATTCGATGCTCAAACAAATTCCAACAGCTCCTTTTTTTCTGAGAGTTCGATTATTAAACCAAAATTAATCAAACGAAAATCGAATTCAATCGAACAGCTAAAATTGATGTCCACTGTTATCAAGCCCAAAAAAGCAGGTGCACGTAACAATAAAAGCAATTTTCTCATCGGTATTTAGATACTTCTGAACATTTCATTGAATCTGTTAATTTCGCAACAAAAGCTGATGAACTTAGCCTCTAACGGAAACTCCCAGAAACATTTATTAAATAACTTCCTTGTCTTCATGACTTCATTGAGTCTCCTTCTATTCTGGAGCTGGTTCACGCTTCAAAATTTTCGTCTGTTTCCATGTCAAAATCGCCTTGTATTAACTTAATTTTGCACTTCTACAGACAACTTAACTTTGCCTGCAGCCCTTGGGCCGGAGGGGTGTAGCCGTACTCTTGTTAGTTTAGGAGCAGCCAAATCAGATTATCGCGTTAAATGAAGATTACGTACATATCTCCAAAGACAGCCTCTTCTGAAAATCATATTACATATTACACATATTACCAAGCGAGAGTTCGGAAATCGAAGGGTTGATCAAGAGTCCAATTACGTTCGATGATATTTGGATACTCAGCTCGTTTGGAATGATGAAATCCATGTTTTGATTTTAATTTCTTCTGCTTTACAAATTATCTTTTCGATTTTGTTCGACTGCCTAGCTACCCCGGGATGCATCACGTGCGTGCTTCTGATGCAAATATTTTTCCTTTTCAAACAATGCTGTCACAACGGTCTGTTTTCCTTTTCACGTGGAGCAAGACCTTTGGTCGAGAGAGACTGACGTCTCTCCTGGCTTCCCTTTCACGCTTCTACGACCGTGGAAGGGAGAAGGAGAGAGAAAACAGACTGCAACATACTTAAATCCCGCAACTTTTTTCAGTCGGCTTTCTCGTTCAAGGAAAGTATTCGACTACAAACAACTAAAATCTGGCTAACTTGAAATAAATCATATCGGTATAAAAGTTTTACCTTGGGAATATTTGAGAAAATGCTAAAGCCGTCAACCGTGCACTGAAATCTTCTCCAGTGTGTTATTATGTGATTGAAGCACTAGCTAACATGAAGAGCGACTAGACTGAAATTAGTTGACTGCAAACATGGCTTCATTTAGACAAAGCTTCAACTATAAATAATGCATGACTTCATTACCTAAGAGGATCTTTTTAATTCCCACGTCGTTATGACTCTTTTCACAGTTTCAATTGGAAAAGAAATCCTGCTAACTGCTAAGGCTCCTTAGAGTCGGACCTTTTTTTATTTTTTCAGAACACTATTAATAGCAAGGCTTTGTCTGTACGTGTAAGATAATAAGTCTTTACGGTTTCTTATACATGAATTAGACCATTATCTGCCGATGGGTTTCGTGGTCATCGATTCTTTTGAACTATTAATCATTAAGCAGGTTCTCCTAATGAAGGAACCCGCAAATTTGCTGCAATAAATCTTTTTGGCAAGCAGCAGAGCACGGTCGTGTTTGACAGCGTTCATTAAAGTACCACAGAAGCCAGAATATTCCGTGACACTTGTCTACTGAAAAATGATTTTTTTTCTGAATGGAATTAACCAATCTTTTGAAAAAGGATTTTAGAAAGGTCTAGAATTGAAAATAGCGGTTTCCACTTCAATTCGATACTATTTGTTACAGCTGTACTGAACTCAGCTCGAGCCATTGTCAGTTCTTATTTTAATCCCCGCAGGCGAAATTTTTAACAACCCTGTATATGTCGTGAAAACATTTCTTCGAAAATATTATCGCTGAAGCAAAGTCTAAGAATAGCCAAGGTTAAGGTAGTAAATAAACAAAACAATCGATACTGCATATTCTCAGTCAAACACGTGCTGTGCATGATGCTGAGTGACATCTGAGTTATGAATGATCTTATTGCAAGGTACAAATGGTTTTGCCAAGTTAGAAACTTTATCAAAGGGAACTCAGAAGAACTACCACACATTTCCCTTCCGCTCACGAGGAAATGAACTCACCAGTTCTAATAGATATCGAATTCCAAGTTGTGAAGCCAATTTTTTTCAAGCGGGCGGAGTGAGAAACTAACCAAGATACAGCTCAAGACAGAGAGAACACTGGCCATGCGAGCATTTTAGCTGATTAAAACTGATTATAAAACTTTAAATAGTATATATTTTTCCAATATCATCCTTTTTATGGGCTAACCTCGTTTTCTCGATGATTCCTTCAGCTCATTCTCCTATATTTCACGTCCAGTTCGGCAGTTCGGTTAACCCTGGAGAAATGAAACGAATGTAAACACTGTATAGTGCTCTTGGCAAGTACGACGCGACCTGAGCAAATCTCTCAAACTGAGCTTATGTCAACTAATACACGCTGTAAGTGGGCAAACAAGTCGTGTAGCTCATAGAAATTCAGTAAACGGTAAATAAAAAACAGCCGGCTGAAATAGTTCACCTCGTGTCAAACTTGCTTGAGACGCTACACATCTCCAGGTTACTGAGCTAACATTCTGACATTGTTTCAATCAAAAATTGAATAGAGATGCATTTTAAAAGGTTAGACCCACATTTTAGAATTTTCTTTACCTTGCACCAGCTATGGGAATTAAAAACCTTTTTTTTCATACCTTTTCGTTCGGTACGGTTGCGAAGGAGTCCAAAATAAAACTGGTTTAGAAAACGCTTGCTGAGTTCGACTTTTTGTAAAGCGCTCGCCCTAAAAGCGGGCTGGGCGAGTTTCTACTTTTTACATCAGTGTGCGAATTGGAGGCGTGCAAAATGATTGTTTTGCTTGATTCAGGTTGTTTACTTACATATGACCGTTTGAAGTGGCAAAATATGACATCGATGTTTTTACGGCACAGATCACGAAATTCACAACTGGAAAGAAGTCATGATGAGGAGTAGAACGGTGAGAGAAAACTGAAGCCAAGAATACAGACAACTTTATATAAAGACTAAGTTTAATTGCGCCCTTTCATCTTTTGCTAAAAGCGAAAGAATTAAAAGTTTAATTTTGAGCATCCTGCGATTAATGGAACGAAATGGCGGATAGCTAAGTTAGATAATTATAGACACAATTTACCCCTTGGTGTTCATAGATCGTTTGTTCTGCACGTACGTAAAGTTGTAGTTTGGAAGCGAAATTGTATCAAAGCTAGACGCTACTCTATACTGTGACGCAGTCCTTATTAATGCCTGAGGTGAAATCGGAACTGTTAAAAAAAAAAAAATTTTTAACGTCCCTCAAATTGAGGACCTGTAATAGCAGATAAGATAACCGGTTGATCAGAATGTTTCCTTAAATTGCCTACAGTGTAGAATATCTTGCGTTTAAATCTCTAGTTGGGCTGTGAACTGGGTCATTGGACCTTTTTATAATCTTGTAAGGAGTTGCATGGTTACGATACGTGTCTTCTCAGCTTCCAACGTGAGCTCAGAATTAAACTGTTGTTCTTTCTTTAATAACCGCCCACACGCACACAGCAAGCTTACTTGGCCACGTCAATTTGACCAAGGGAAAAATTAACATTTACCATCATGAAAGAAT